GATTGATAAAAAATATTAAATTTACACTTTTTTTAAAGGAAACAAAGTACTTTTTAAGTCATTTTATTTATTATATTTAGTCAACACAAGTGAATATGTATATAAAATATTTTTAAAATAAAACTATGAATGCCACATACTCCAATAATTGGATACTAAATCAAGGCATTAATGCAAATTGAACAAAAAACACGTGATCTACAAATAAATTTTGAATGGTGCTGGGACTGACCAGCTAAAGTAGCTTTTCAATTTTTTTCAGAACAATTTTTGCAATGTCTTAGCTTATCATTAACCAAAGGTTTATGAACTCCAATTTGTATATCGTAATAATACGTGTTCATTTGAATAGCTAGGTCTTCCACTATTCATAGATCTAGCATTTCCTACTAATTGCTCAATGAGTTCCTCACGAAAACGTTGATGACTGCGAGCGTGATGGTCAGTAAACCAATACTCAAATACAAAAGCATAATGAACACATATTTCCAATAGGTGGTAAAAGATTCACTTATACTATTTATTTGATTTTCTTCCACAAATATAATACTTCATGATTTGATCTGCTGAATCTACACCACCCATGTTGGCATTAATATCTTTAATTGTTGGGGGTAAGGGGTGGGGAGTGGCATGTAACATTTATTCCACCGATTTCTGCTTTTTCCAGACCTGCGCCAATACAGGACCACACATTTGCCGATCACTATACCGTTGTTGAAACTTCATTTTTGTCTTCATTATAATCTCCTTAGGATACTGGCTACAATCAACGCGTGTAGTACCGGTTGTGTAAACATTATTCTCATAAAGATACTCAGACAAACCAACTTTATTATAATAGTTATCTAAATATAAATGGTATCCTTGTTTTAAAACATGTTGAATTAGTTGACGGCAACTGTTCCTGCAAGGTCTTGTTACTTTAGTTCGTCAATATCTTTTCCAGTGTAAATCAAGAATTCAGATATGTACCCGGTGGCTGACTCTGCCATTAACCATGCTTTTATTCTAAATCTTATACATTTGCTTGAAACCAATTGTCGGAAAAAGATTCTTCCCTTGAAAAGTATCATACTTTCAACAATGTAAATGTCTCTTTTTGGTTTATAAAGATTTCTAAATTTACGGCAACGGTCATGCAGCAACATATGCACCTTGAAAAGTTTGTCATAACCTTCTTTACCTCTTGGTATTGCAGCTGTCTCATTGCAAAAATAAAGGTAACAATGAATTTGTCTAAATCGATCACGAGACATTACTTTACTATAAGATGAGAAAGAAAAAAACTTTTTTTTGTCTCTAGTAGTCATTGATGCGAAAAAGTTTTCTTATTCTCATAGAATTTAAACAATTGCTATAAATACTTTGATATCATTTGACGTAACATCAACCCAAATCCTTCTATGCTTTATAGGAGAAAATAGTAACCTTCTTGAATTATAGTGATTTGTTTCAGTCACAAGTTTTTTGTATTAAACCAAAAAACAATTCAATTAAATAGATTGGTTTGATATTGCCATCACAATAAAGCATTACAGATTTTCTAAACGTTGGTACTGGTGTTAAAAATGGTGCCATAAATGGAATAATATTACTAGTAGTTTTAATTTTTTTCCGTTCTCTGTTGTCTTTACTACTATTAGATTTCTTATTCTTATTGGTATGAAGTTTTTTATTTGCCTTGATGAAGGTTAATTTCATGGTTGGAATAGTTGGTTGTTTACGTATTTTTCTTTCCTTATTTACAGTAACATTGTTATCAGCAAATAGTATTGTATAGAGTCATTTGTTATCATTAGTTCCTGAGTTATTAATAGCAAAGTCCACATCTGTTTTTTCTGTTGAATCATCTTCAAAACTAAAATAATCTTCAGACGATGACGATGAAAATATTTCTGATAATGATGGCCGACTTGCTGACGATGGAACTGTTGGTAAGCAAATAAAAAACTTATTCTATTGGAATTCGTTGTCATCAGACTCTAAAGATTCACAGGATAAATAATTAAAATTATTCATTTGATCAAGGATTTGAAGAGCTTCATTTGGATCATTTATAATTCTACTCCTCAAAACCATATACAATACAAAAAGCTTAAGGATTACATTTATTTTTGTTAATAATCTTCAGTGTTTTAAACATAATCCGTAAATTATTAGTTCCTACTTTCCTAAGTTGAATTTATATGTTTATGAGGACTTTATATGTTTAAAAGGGTAAATTTATATGTTTATGAGGAATTTATATGTTTAAAAGGGTAATATTTAACTTAAAATAGAAGTGAACAATAACTTTTAGATAGATATTTTGATATGTATTTTACAGGCGCACATATGTGCGCCCTCGGTTCGAAAGGGTTAACGAACGGTAAATGAACATAAAACAATTTTTTTTGAATTGTAAACTCTGTAAAAAGTTTTATTTTAGTACGAATTAAGTTACATTTACAACATTATTTTAAAACAGTTTAAGTTACATTAACAACATTATTTTAAAACAAAAATCCATGGCACTAAAAATCACATTCGCTAAAAAACAGCAACAATAAAAATATTAATTGAGGATGGTCTTAACATCAGCATAACAATTGTTTCGGCAATACAAAAAGTTCTATATATCTTATCTTATCACCTTGAATAAGCATTTGACAAGAAAGTTTACACTCAGACCAATTTTTCTTGGTCTTGTGAGACCTAGAAAGGTTGTTTTGCCGAATTTGTTTTATGCCGAGTAAGCTTACTCGGCAAAAAATAATTACGCCATACCCTCTTTAAGATCTGTTTGGGACAGCCCTATTTACACTTACCTTTTTTTTATTTCTTAAAAGACATAGAAATGACAGAGTATCAAATACGACAATTAAATAATTTGACTGTCGACTAAATCGACTAATATATTTCGACTAAAATTGACTAATGCATTTTAAAAATCGAATAACAGTCGATTAAGTTGAAATGTCGGAATAATTTATTTTTTTGAAATAGGTTGTCATAAAAACAATAAAGTAATTTATATTCACATTTTTTTTAACATCATCTCATTTAAATATTAATGAGCAATACAATATAAGAGAACTGCTATTCCGACAACTGGACAATTTATTCACAGACCCCAATGATTTAGGGACTGCCTCAAATACTTTCTATTCTTTTAATTCTTTATAATCATATTTGCAATGTGATTGTATAGAAAACATTTTCGTTTTGGAGCTTTACAACTTAATTTATCGGAGGGCCCCGAGCCAGTTTGAAGCGGTCCTGTTAGAAACTATTTATGAAAATCAAAAGACAATATATATATGTATATATATATATATATATATATATATATATATATATATATATATATATATATATATATATATATATATAACCAATTGTTTAATTAGGTATAATTAAAAAACAGTTTATTTTAATTAGGTATGTTTTCTTTTTTTAAGAAGGTAATAAAATGCTCTCAGAAATCCTAACGGTCTTATTACAGAGCACCGGAAAGAGCCTAACAAGCACCAGAACGATTTAACAAATTGTTTTGTCGCAACCGTATAATTGACATTCTCATTATAGTTAAACGATGTTATAACTTCAGGTTGAAGTGAAGATCTATTTATATCAACTTCTGACATTTCCTCTGAAATGCAAATGACTGAGCTGGTTTGATTTTGTAATCTTTTTGAGTGGTTTGAAAAGTATGAGATTTTAGTTCTTTTTTTATCAAATTTACTATCAAATAAATAAAGTTGTTAATGAATAAATGAATAGCTTGTGTTAAAACCCAAAGAAAAATTTAGTTTTTTATGACTATACAGCCAACTAAATATAATTTATTTAAAAACTTTGGCATATAAAATTCGTCGAATGGTCACACACGAGCAGTGAACGTCTAAGGGAAGAAATGAATTACATTAGAATAAAGGAGTATTATTTTTTGAACAAAGCATATTTTGACCGCCGTCAAGACAAAATGAAAAATTATTAGAGAATAATTTAAAAATAAATAAGACAGACAAGGCACCTGAAACAGTACTTAACAATAACAATAAAAAAAAAAATAAACTGTTTTATAAACACTAATATGAAAGAAGATATACAACAAATATATCACCAAAGAAAAAACTTAAAAAACAAAAAATTGATTACAAAATAAAAAGTATACATAAAACAATGTAAGGCCTCAGAATGGAAAACATTAATGCTAATGTGTAAACATAATTTGTGTAGGGATTAAGTAATAAATATCTCCTCAGAGTCGCGTCTAATATTACTGGCGTTTCCATGAGGATCAACACTAATAACTAGTTAATCCCGTCAGACAAACGTCATTGCCACTTATGCTTTACCCCGCGACTCTCTCTCTTTCTCTCTCTCTCTCTCTCTCTCTCTCTCTCTCTCTCTCTTATATATATATATATATATATATATATATATATATATATATATATATATGAATATATATATGCATATATTTTTTCATTATATATTCATTATTTTTAATCGCTATGGGAGCGAATATTTTACTATATTGTTTGATGTATAGATTATAAAGATATTATTTGATATATATAATGATAGAATATAACGAATATAGGAAATAAAACAATATATAGTTATAAAAATTAACAATTTTTTTTTAAGCAAAATAATTTTATTTAGATTTGTAAATATATTTAGTTACCTGCATAGTTATCAAACACTAAATGGCTACCTTAAAGCAAACAACATAGACATTCTTGCCAGGTGCCTTAAGTCTGTTTTTATGGTTTTAATTTTAAATATTTGTAAAGTTTTATAACTATTTCACAACATATTTTCAAAAATTATATTTTTTTGTATGTATGGTTGTTATAATTTTTGTTGACGTAATTAATGAACAGCCTTCTATTAAAAATTTAGATTCAGCAGATCAAATCAAAAATTAATTTTTACCATATCTATTTATTATTAATAATAGTTACAAATATTTTTCTTTTCATAGAAACGTTAAATAAAAAAAAGTATATGGTAATGTGAATAACACAAACAATGTACGAGTGAAATTATTTACATTTTTGAGATAAAGAAATATATATTATTATTTTAAAAAATAAATACTTTTTATTTTCATAAATCCAAAAAGGAATCGGTAAAAAACGTTGAAGATGTTAATGTTTCCAAGATTGTATCGCATAAATATTCTGAAAAAACAAAAAAATTCTAGGTAGCGTATGGTGTAACCTACACATTGGTGACACAAAGTGGCATAGATTCTAAGGATGTTACCTTTTATCTTAAGATCAGATTAATGGCAACCTCTTGTCACTGCTACAGTATCCACCTGATCAAATATTAACAATAACAACAAAAATCAAATAACATAGCATTACCTTTTAAACCATTTGCTTGCTAGAGTAAAGGGCAAAACCTTTCAACCTATAAAAAATTGCCAATAAAAAACAAGAATCAAGGAATAAAAAAATACAACTGTAATACATAACTTTTATAATACTAGCTATAATAATTACAAACAATTTAATGACAAACATAACAATTTAATGACAAACATAACAATTTAATGACAAATATAACAATTTAATGACAAACATAATTTAATTACAAATATAACAATTTAATGACAACATAATTTAATTACAAACATAACAATTTAATGACAAACATAACAATTTAATGACAAACATAACAATTTGATGACAAACATAACAATTTAATGACAAACATAACAATTTAATGGCAAATATAACAATTTAATGACAAACATAACAATTTAATAATCAATAAAAATATGGTGTAAATGTATCTATTAATCTTTTTGTTTATTAATCTAAGCTGCTGCAAATAAAACATTTAATGCAAAAACACGTGAAATAAAAAGTAAAGAAAAATGTGTTTTGAAGAATAAATAAACAATTCAAATATGTATTTATTATTCTTGATTTAATTACAACACTAAGTGATCTTGCCAAAAAACCTTCAGCTCAAAAAAAATAAATTAAATGATCAATTAAAAAAGAAAGGTATCAGTGATTAGATGAATTATGGGAATAATGACAATAAAATTGTTAGAAGCTCAATTAACCATGTACGGTAATATCAATTCAAACAGTGATTACTTGACATTAATATAATGGTTTGTCAATCAGAAAAAAAATTAAAAGGGTTACAGAACCTGTATATGGTTTTGATAGCCATAATATAGAAATATATAAGTTATGGTCACGTTAAACATTATATATAATAGATAAACAAAACACTAGCACTCATAGCCTTGAAGTGTTGTAAACTAATGTGTTGTAAACTAATCACCAAAATCAAAGAAATCAGAGCACTACTTGCAAACCGGAGATTTTTTTTTTTCTGATATACTTCGGAGATACTTTACAAACCGGAGATTTTTTTTCTTCTGAGACTTGGTTTAAACAAATACCAGATTTAAATATAATAAAATACCATTTTTATAGCCATGATTGAGATAAAAAAATGAAAGATGAAGTTTGTATTTATATTATAAAAACTCAATTTATATTTCTGAAGTTAATACTGACCAAATCAATTTTAAGAATATTGAACTAGTCTATAGTTCAATATTTTAGTCTAGAATATTGAACTAGTATGGGTTTGCAAAAAATTGGCAAAAAAAATTATTTTTCAGGTACGTTTATAAATCTTCAGATGAAACCAATAACTTAATTATAGCTTCAATATAAAGTGCAATATAAGTATTAATGAAAATGCATTCTCAGCTGCTGATAATAAAAGTAAGTTTTTAAATTATTTAGAAAACTGCTTTTTTAAACAAATGGTGTGAAAACCAACTTTTCAAAAATCTTCAAACAAAATGACCAATATTCTAGATTTAGTAATTGACAATGATGACAACAGAGTTTCAGACATGACTCTTTTACCACCACTTGAGTAGGTGTGACCACTTGGAGTCAATAAGAATGCTCACCATCTGTTAAGCTTTAATTTTAGTTTAGCAAACAAAATTAATCCAATTTTAAATTGGTTTAATTATATGATAGGTGGCTATTTGAAATACATGCTAAACATTGATTAGAATAAATCTTTTGCAGAAAAATCTATCAACGGTTGTTATAAATTCTTTTTAAGTTGTCAGGTAAGTCAAAAATACCATTTCATGAAATATACATTTCATGAAACAATTCATGAAACATTTCATGAAACATTTCATGAAACATTTCATGAAACATTTCATGAAACATTTCATGAAACATTTCATGAAACATTTCATGAAACATTTCATGAAACATTTAGGGAAGTTTGCACTTTTATATATGCAAATATAAAAGTGTTTCATTTGAATTATCAATTAATCAAATATTTATAACTTAACTATCATAATTTTTTGTTTAACTTTTTTTTTATTTCTAATGGTTTAACACTCTTAACACTAAAAACGAAATCTTGGTGAACAAAGTTAAAAGCAGAGAGCTCAATACAACATAAGAGATTTTTATCTTTTAATATTTTTTTCATTTATACATTTGTCTGTTATTTTGTATAATGTTAAGTTTTTAGGTTACCTTGCTGAGCCATGTAAGAATAGAACATATGGTGTGATTATATCCTTTTTTTACATAATTATCTACATTTCTCCAATTTTCATTTTGCACCATCCACTGTGAAAAACACAAAAAAGTTTATCTCAATGTATCCTTTATACAACAATAGAGAAAAAACAAAATAAAAAGTCATTTAAACATAAACAGATAATATTAAAAATATTATATAAACTATATCTACATACAAATTATTAAAACTTTAATAAATGAAACTCATAATTGCTTACATCCACCTTTTTTTGACATTCTGGGTAGTTATCATTGATAGGTATAGAACATGGACAAACTCTTTCAACCTAGATAGAAAAAAAAAGTATAATGTTTCTTATAACTCAGCAATGTCAAATGAAAAAGAAAACTCTTACTTTACTAAGATAGTTCAATATTGAACATTTGCTACCATCAACTCCTTTTAACTTGTAAAATGGGTTAGTTTTCCAATATGCTTGCATCCACTTTTTAAAATAAAATAAACAGTAAAGTTTAGATAAAGTTTAAATAGTAAAACTAATATTGCTTAAAATTTATACTACATAATTAAAAAATTAATATTCAGTTACTTTGTTGATTCCACAAAATATGTTCTTTATTTAATTATTAGAATGAAAACATATGTGTAAACACAATGTTATTGCTATTTTGCATTTTCCATGAAACCATAATGTAACATAGGCATAAAAAAAAAGCAGGTATTTAAGAAAAAAGTGTTTTATATATATATATATATATATATATATATATATATATATATATATATATATATATATATATATATATATATATATATATATATATATATACATACATATATATGTATATGTATAATCAATCAATCAATCAATTATATATTCTGGAAAAAAAGATCTAACTTCCACGGTCGTTAAAAATAGTTATAAAATCTAATTTAAAGTAAAAACCTCTTTGGTGATATAAAACATATTATAGACACTTAGTTATAGTGATAATAAAAACAGCAATAAATTAACAAAACAACAATAATAAAAATAATTAATTGTATAATAATAAGAATAACAATAATAATATTACCAGTAAGTATAATTAACACCCAATAATAATGATTAAAATAAAAACATGACAATAATAAATACAACACATATAACGGAATTGTTAAATAAATATTTAATAGAAGGCTGTTCATTAATTACGTCAACAAAAATTATAAAAACCAGTAACTAAAAGAACTAAATCAATACAATCTTCCATACAACAATCAAATATATATACATAGTTAGAGTTACAAACAGTAATAAACTGACAAAACGTAACTAATAACGATGACATAAAAACGATTATTGATAAAAGCCTACAAAGACTCAATAAATATAATAATTTTAGTTTTTATGATATAATAACAAAAATATATTGTGTGTATAATAATCAAATAAAGAAAATATAAAACACTTATTATACAATTGAGGTTAATAAAAGTAAAAAAATGCATTAAATGCATAAACAACATATAAATATAACAATAAAAATACACATCAATATAAACAATGTATTCACTAAACAAAGATTAAAAGTTTTTTTTTGTTCCTTACTTTTAATGCCATTATTGTTTCTGGTAAACTAACAAAATTCATTTCGTATTTTTTTTTTTTTTTTACTCTACATTTTCTAACTATTTTTTCTTTCAAAAAATCTTTTTTTTCTATTTGGTACGTTATTTTGACTTGCTTTTTATCTTTATTTGTTTATATCTTTTGATCTTGTTTATACTTCATTTTGTTTTATAATTTGATATTTTTAAAATGGTATTTTGATTTTTTTTTCTCCATTTTATTTTTTTCCTTTTTTGCAATTAAATATAAACATCCTCCATTTGCGATGTCATTGCAAAAGTTATAAATATATATATATATATATATATATATATATATATATATATATATATATATATATATATATATATATATATATATATATATATATAAACAACTGATTTAGGAACCCACCTCACCCTTGTACACACCGGAGTCCTTTTATTGATTCCATCTTCCCTCTGCATATGCATTATTTTTTTAAATAACCAACCCCATTTCACTCATTTTCCCAACAAAAAATTTTTTAAACATTAAAAATTAAAAAAACTGTTAGTTGATTTAACATTTCTCTGTTACATAACATAATATTAATTTTTTGAACTTGTGAAACTCAATGCTTTTGATAAAAAAGAAGGTAGTTTTAGAAAAGATAGAGAGCAAGATGCTGTCAAGTTCTGTACATGACTGCTGTCAATAAAACCTCTTTCCCTGAAAGAGGTATTAATGACAGAAACTATGTTTTTGAGATTATCAAATCGTCTAACCACTTTATAAAAGACATCCTTGAAGGCTTGAACACTCTTTTTATTTCCTGTAACTTCTGGAGTATCTCAAGGTTCTATCCTTGGTCCTATTTTGTTTCTTATCTACATTAATGAACTTCCCGACAACCTTACATCTAAAGTAGTTCTTTTTGCTGATGACTTTATACTCCTGTCTTGACAAGGAGTAGTCTTCTTTTTTTAATCGCTTAGAACAGGCAGCCAATCTTGAATCTGATTTCACTTCTGTAACTAATTGGGGTTCTTAGTGGCTTGTAAATTTAAATTCCAACAAAACTCATTTATTTACTGCAAACAACTATCTATATTACTAAATGGTAACCCTTTCATTGAGTCTTCTTTACTACTGACCTTTTACGGAAACCATATATACAACCGATAGCTAAATCAGCATCTGCTAAGGTAGCTTCTCTTTATTGTGCTCACCATTTTCTATTTCTTGATTCCATTCTTTACCTCTATTAATCTCTTTTTGTCCCTGTTTGGAATACTGTTGTCATATTTGAGCTGATTGGTCTGATGACGCTCTTTCTTTTTTAAACAAGATCCAAAAATGCTTAGTAAATGTAGTTGAACCCAGTCTATCAGCTAAACTTTAGCCTTTTTTCCTTGTTATAATTGAAAATTGTTATATCAACATTTACTAACTGCAAAATACATGAAAAAGAAAAAAACTATTGAAGTATAAGACAAGATCATTATTGTTTTCCTGCTGCAAATGTATGTTTGGCATCTAGCAAAATATGGTCTTAAATATTGCATGTTCTTTTAAGTATATTTGTTTGTCAACCAGACTTTAACATGTTTAAGCCTGGTTGAAAAATGTCAAAATCTGGAGTTTGATAAGAAAAAAATTTAACCCTTTTGTATATTATGAAGAATATACCTGAAGGGTACAAAACAATATTGATCAATGTTGAAATTCATTAAACAACTAAGCATAGAATAAAACTAAAATATATATTTGCACATACATGGTATCAGTTCACAAGCTGAACTTTTTCTCTGTAAGCTCCTGTTTGGGTAAAGTAATAAAAATATTGTTTTTTTCTTTTTCTATTTTTATTTAAACTATGCACATTGCACTACCTTTTTACAATTACTTTTTACATTATTAAACCTATTATAAACGCTGGTCAAGGATCATTTCAGTAGTGTTGCAGAGATTAACTGATTTTTGATGAATTGATTGCAATTAAAAAACGACATCATTGTCATTAAATTTATCCACATAAGACATCATCTGGGAATATATTTTTGCCAAAACTATACTCTGTTTTCATAGCAATTATTAAAGCAATGCAAAAAAAAAAAAATGTTATTTCTACTTATTAAATTAGTTACAGCCTTAGTCCTCTGTCACTTATATGTTAAGAACTTGGCTAGTTTTTTACGTACTTAGTGCATTATCTCTCATTAATCATATTCCGTAATAGAATACTTAGAACTTATCAACTTTAGTGCCTGGTTTTTTGATGTTTTCTTTTATATATTTTTATTTTTTACTTTTTGGTCCATTTTTAAAATGCTATTTTTAAAAAGTTTTTTTTATATATTTTTTATTTTTTAGTCCATTTTTAAAATGCTGTTTTTTAAAAAAAAAAAAATTATACATTTTTTTTATTATTCAACAGTGATTCTATTTTTGCTAAAATTAAAACGCTTAAACTAAAACGCTGAAAGTTTGTTGTTTATTGTTTGTTTTAATTAATTTGCATAACGATTTCTTTTATTTATGCTAAACTAAAAGGTGTTTTTTTTAATGCTTTAAATGACAAGACACAAAGTCGCAAAGAGCAGTACCAGTTGTTGAATCAAACATTGAAAATTAACTATTGATAATGCTATTTTTATTTATCAAGCTAAAAAAAAAAAATTTAACACCTAAAAAGAAAGAAAACACCTAGTAGTGCATTCAAAGTGTTGTTGCTCAGCCACATATTTTTTGTTTCATTTTCAATGCAGACTTAAAATGATAAGGGTTCTTAAGGTATTTATAATAATTTAAAAAAAATTAAACAGTTTTAAAAGTGATTAGAATTATACTAACTATGTTTACTATTTGCACACTGTAAAATCATTACAAAAACAAAATTTCATACCAAAAACCTGTTTTTGCATTGTGGAAAAACGTTGCTGTTTGGAATCTTACAGTTTTCTTTCGGGCATTTGTTTTCTACCTAGTTATTAGGATAACTATAATAATTATTGAAAAAAAGTTGAAAAAAACTTTTGTTAACACTTAATGTAATAGAAAAAAAAAGTTACAACCTGACTTAGATAATAAAGAACTGAACAATTAGACCCATCAACTCCATAATTTTTATACAGTGGGTACTTTTCCAGCCCTTCATCAATCATCCACTATGCAAGAAATGAATTTTGTACAATATGACATAACTTTTACATTGATTCTACTTATATAAATAAAATACTAAAATAGCAAATATCAAAAATAATAAAATATAAATAATAAAAATTGAAAGACTTATTTTATTCTTTATAAACCAAAAATATAACTATATTAAAATTAAAAAAAATGCTAGTATAGTGTTTTAGATTACCGTTAAATAAAAAATTTTGACTCTTTATTAAACTTTTTAAATATTGAATAACTAATTTAATAATCATTTTTATACTAATAAAACAAAAAAAGTGTAATTCAACTTTCAACTTATAATCTCAAATCTGATTGTAAGCTGACTCATCAAAATACAGATATTTAACAATTTTATTATTGACAGAACCAAGATGCATCAAGACATCAAAAAAAAAAAAAAAATCTTACAGCATACAATTTCATTAAAAAATATTTTTAAACCACATGTATTAACATTGTATCTCTATGTTAAACTTTTTAAACAAGGTTATACAAATATTTATAAATGTTAAAACTGTTTAATACAAACACCTAGATTAACTTTTTTTTTTTTTGTTTCTTAGCTGAATCAATCTATTAAAGAACATGAACATGCTGGCCAACACACTATGTATGAGACTCACAAAGGTTAACCTTATTATTGTAACCTTATTATTATGATACAATGAAAAATATATATATTATAAAATGTGTGTATATATAAATATATATATATATATATATATATATATATATATATATATATATATATATATATATATATATATTATATATATATATATATATATATATATATATATATATATATATATATATATATATATATATATATATATATATATATATATATATATATATATATATATATATTTATATATATATATTATCAGGCTTTCCCAGGAAAGGCGTGCGGTCGCACGCCTTGTTTGTCCACGCATAGAATAAATTTTTCTGACTAACTGACCACGTTTTATTATTATGCGTTTCAAGAATTCGCGCCAAAACAAAGCTAAACGAAAATACCGCAAAAATCTTAAAGTAAATAACAGAAATCTGTTTGTGCTTTAAAATTAAAAAATTTATGTATATTATTAAAAAAAAATTTACCTACATTTTATTTATTTATTTTTTTAGGGTGGTAGTTATTTTAGCTATGAAAAATCAAATTAATAAGAAAAATCAAATTAAGAGAAAAAGATTAATGTTTAAAGAAAATAAAAGGACCTTTTAATGTAAATTTGTTTATGACTTTTATCAGTCAGTAATACTTTAAAATTCACGATAGAACTATAAACAATTTTTAAATGTTTCGTAAATACATTTAAATGTTTAAGTGTATTGATTTAAATGTTTGAATATATTGATACGCAAGAAAACACGAAAACGATTGCTTTTTATTAGTAAAATATGTTGTTGTTTTTTTTAAACGAAAGAAAATTTTATTGTCAAACGATTGAGTTGTTTATTTTGCAATCATTAATTGACATTGTGAACGAGTGTTAATATATAATAATGTCCCGAAGGAACTGTTTTCATAACAATGACAACAGAAGCAATGCAATTATTTTTTTAACTTCTTTCGTAATTACAAAATTATGCAATTGAATAATTTCAACGTAATAAAAGGCAAGCATTGACTCAGTATAATCAGTTTAGAATAAGTTGAGAAAGAACTTTTTTCACATTAAAATTTTGTTATATTTAAAATCTGAAATAATATATTTAATAATTAAAACAGCAACTTATTTTCTTGCAAAGTATTGGGGAATAAAGTCAACGCCTTTACATAAACTTTCGTAAAAACTAAAGTAAATGAAAAAGTTTAACCAAATTTGTCTAGCGTAAATAATGAATCAGTTTTTTAATACATTGTCTGATAAAGTGCGTGAATAAATTACGTATCAAGTCTTTTTATTTTTGTGAAAACTTTACGACTTATCGTCGTCTTTCCCTTGACTTGTATCAAATTTCGTAGCTGAAAATAGCAACCCTTAAAAAAGCAAACAAAAACAGTATAAAAAGTTTGAAAAAAATGTTCAAGACTTTTTTTTTTTTTGTTACAAGAATTTTTTTTTTTAATATCAAAATATTTTTCTTACATCCAATTTCAATTTTATACTTTGTTTAGACTTCGTTTCCTTTTTTTAATATTATTCTTTATTCTCTGTGAATAATTTCGCTTTCACACGAAATATTGCCGCGGTCACGTTTTCTGAAAAACTTATTCTATGCGTGGACAAACAAGGCGTGCGACCGCACGCCTTTCCTGGGAAAGCCTGATATATATATATATATATATATATATATATATATATATATATATATATATATATATATACTAGGAAAAAAAAAAAAAAAAATATATATATATATATATATATATATATATATATACATATATATATATATATTATAAAATATATATATACTATAAAATATATATATACTATAAAATATATATATACTATAAAATATATATATACTACAAAATATATACAGTGGGCAAAATAATTGTCCGTACATTAATGAAAAATAAGGTTTTTTGAAAAAAGCTTCAAAACTTTAAATGATAGAAAAAAATAAATTAAACCAATAGATAGCACACAAGAAAACAAATAAAAACGATACACCATCTTTAATTTTCTCCCGACAATTTAAATTATAATTAACTTATTTAAAAGTTGTAAATATTTTAAAACCAAAAAATTTTCCGGACATTTGATTTAAAAGGTAAAATTTTTTGAAAATGATTTTTATATTAATATCTAGTACTTTTAGGTTAAATGATACTATAATAAATAAAAATAAACCTTTTCTTAACTACGTGGCTATGATGGAAGGAAAAAGAAAAGAATATAGTATTGACTTACGTAATCAAGTAATTTTTAATAGGGAAAATGGATTATCAATTAGAAAAGTTGCAAAAATGTTGAAAATACCACCAAGCTCTGTTCAATATATATGGAAAAAGTATTTAAAAACAAAATCAGTGGCAAATAATGGTGTACGAGGCAGAAAAAGATCAACAACGCCAGGAGTTGACAGGTGCATAGTTAGGAAAATCGAGCAGAATAGAAGAAAAAATGCCGTAGAAGTATCAAAAGAGCTGGAAAATGAATTAAATATTAAATTATCGCCATAAACAATTAGGAACAGACTGCATGAAGCCAATATTTTTGCACGGATGCCTCGGAGAAAACCATTCATCAGCATAGTGAACAAGAGAAAACGGTTGCAGTGGGCAAAGGAACATGTTCTGAAGGATGATACATTCTGGAATATAATTATTTGGTCAGACGAGAGTAAATTTAATTTATATGGAGCTGATGGTGGTGCAAAAGTTTATAGAAGAGTCGGAGAAGAATATAATATGAAGTGTTTGAAGGCAACATCTAAATTTGGTGGTGGAAATGTTATGGTTTGGGCTGCATGAGTGCGTCAGGTGTTAGCAAAATTGAATTTATTGATGAGAAAATGGATCAACACTTATATAGATCCATATAAGAACAAAATTTGATGGCTTCAGCAGGAAAATTAGAACTTGGAACGAAATTTATATTCTATCATGACAACGATCCAAAGCACAAAGCTGGATCTGTAACCAGATATTTTGATGCAAATGGCATTAACGTGTTGGATAGGGTTGCACAATCGCCCGATTTGAACCCTATTGAACATTTATGGTCGGTGGTGGAAAAAAGAATGAAAGATTGAGCTCCAAAAGAATAAAAACGAGCTCAAAGAATTGGTTTTAGATGTTTGGTCATCAATTAATCAAGAAATTACGCCTAAACTCGCCTCATCAATGAAAAATCGTTGTAGAACAGTTATTGAAGCTGATGGTGGTCCAACAAGATATTAATTTAATTTTAACTAATTTTAATTTAAAAATTAACATAGTGTAGAGGCAATTTTTTTGTTTAAACTTTAAACTCTTTTCAAATAAACTTATATAACTTTTCATATATTAATATATTTTTAACTAATACACTTAAAATTACTTTAATATTATAATACTTCTTTAAAAACTCTTAATTACAACTATCTAAATACTTTTAAATGTTGTTTTGATCAAATATAGATACTTTTTATTAATGTATGGACAATTATTTTGCCAACTGTATATATATACTATAATATATATATATATATATATATATATATATATATATATATATATATATATATATAATATATATATATATATATATATATATATATATATATATATATATATATAATTTTGTAAAATGTTTCAAATTTATTTTATAATATATATATATATATATATATATATATATATATATATATATATATATATATATATATATATATATATATATATATATATATATATATATATATATATATATATATATATATAATTTTGTAAAATGTTTCAAATTTATTTTATAATATATATATATACATATATATATATATATATATATATATATATATATTTATATATATATATATATTTTAGTATATATATATATATATATATATATTTTATAGTATATATATATATATATATATATATATATATATATATATATATATATATATATATATATATATATACTATAAAATAAAGTTGTATTTTTTTCATTTAAATTATTTTATTATATATATATATTTATATATATATATATATATATATATATATATATATATATATATATATATATATATATATATATATATATATATATATATATATATATATATATATATATATGTATATATATATATATATATATATATATGCTATAATGGAATTTCTGAAAACTTTGAAAAATTTTGAAAAAATATTGCATAAAATATTTGTAACAATTCTACTGCTGTTAAAGCATTAGAAACATATAGTAACTTTACATATTATTTACTTACCTTAACAGCATCTTGACATGCTTTTGATGCATTGTAAGGTATGGAGCATGGACAAATTTTTTCAACCTTTAAATTATATAAAAACTTAAATGGTGTGGGAAATTTTGGCATTTTTAGAAATGCAGTGAAAAAACCACACTAAGCTACAGAGAAATTAAAAGAAAAATCTAAAGTGAAAAAGAGAAAAAATCTTAACAAATAAAAAAATAGATGAGTTTCAAAAAATAAAACAATAAAAAAAAATAATCTCCTAATTCAAAAGAGATAAAATTCGAAAAAAAAAAAAAAAAAACTATATTATTTTATTTTCAAAAAAGTGCACATACTTTGAGAAACATTAATTTTAGAAAATTCATCAGAGTGTGACAACCAACCCCTCTATGAGGGTTTGGTTGTCACACAGGACAAGGTTGGTTGTCAAAGGATTATATAAGCTGATTTATATAAATATAATTGTGTTAATGTTTTATAAAATCATTCACATTTGAACAATACATCTGGAATAATAGACAAAGCTTTTTAATACAATATAATATAAGACAAAATTTAAAGAATAATTGGTTTTATTTTTAGTTAATTTATTTCTTAATCTGAGTTACAATTTAAACATATAAAGTTCAGCACGCCTGGTGTGCATTGTTCATGTACCCACTAATTGATGCTTCATAAGAATACAAATTTTATGAGGCCTAGCAATTGATTTGCTTTACATGAAATAATGATATGTTGGGCTTCTACTTTTAGATCATTGGTAATTTGTACAAAACAAAATTTCTAATTTATTAAAATTTAGCAAAAAAACATACTTTATTACTTATTTTAACAATAATCTGAATAATATTAAAAAAACACCTGGAAGGGAATAAAAGAAATCATTAATATTAGACCTTCTACACACAATACATTTTTTAAACTTAAATTAAATGAAAATCTTATCACTGATCACACTGCCATATCTAATATATTTAATAATTACTTTAGCATTATACACAACAAACTACTTAGCAAAGCCATACCCCCTAAACGCATATTTAGTGACTTTCTTAACATTCCAAATGCTAATTCGTTTTTTATTAATCTAGTAACTGAAAATGAAATATCTGGACTCATTACAAACACGCTTAAAACCGTAAACGGGGGTGAATATGAACAGCGGGGTGAAAATGAACATTAGTACTAGCTTAACTTAATGGTGAAGCAGCATATAAAATATAGCTAAAAATTGAAATTTTTTGACTCACTTGCCTTAAATATAATGTGTGGAAGATAATTTTCGGCTGCCCTCAAAATTTTCTTTTTCCGACTTTTCTCTATCGCATATAAACAGTACAAGTTACGTGGTTCGTGTTATTAACCCACCTATCAAGGAGTATCTTAAGAACCGCTCATCTAAACGTCATCAAAGTTACCTCAATTTAGGTTCAGGTAAATAATGTTCTAATAAAATAATAATTTAATGTATAACTTGTCTGTATCCGATTATAAGCTCATTTGAAAATGACATTTTTTTAACACGATTTTTTATTATATTTTGTTAATTTTTAGAACTATGCCTCGAAATTACAAGAGAAAGGAAAACAGTAGAGCTTATAAAACAAGTTATACAAAAAAAGACTTAGAAACAGCTTTAATTAAAATCAAAAACCAAGGATTTAGCTTCAGGAAAGCTTCAAAAAAGTACAATATTCCATTAGGAACATTACACAAAAAAGTTAAGTTTGGGGATCAAGTTCCGAAAAAAAACGGCGGACAAACCAGACTTGATAGTATAACAGAAAATTTATTTGTCCAAACAATTGTACATATGACTGATTGGAGGGTACCATTTGATTCTTTGGATATAAGACTTTTAGTCAAATCATATTGTGATAAAAGGAGTATAACTGACGCTCGATTCAAAAACAATATGCCTGGGGTAGATTGGGTTCAGTCTTTCATGAAGAGACATAACTTAACAAACAGGGTTGCTGATAATGTTAAGCACAGTAGAGCCATGGTCAATGAAGATACCCTTAACAAACATTTTGATAATTTGTATAAAGAGTTGAAGGATATACCTCCAGAAAATATCTATAACTATGATGAGACCAATATAACAGACAATCCAGGGTCCAAATCCGTTATTGGCCTTGGGCACCGTGTCGAAAAAAAACAAGAACATTCGAAGCAGTCGACCAGTTTAATGTTTTCTGGCAATGCTGTTGGAGAGTTTTTGCCGCCCATGGTAGTTTACATAGCAAAGAACCTTTACCAGGGTTGGACTCAAGGTGGACCACCTGGAACTGTTTACGATATCACCCCTAACGGGTGGTTTGACGTTTACCAGATGGTTTATGGAAATATATTTGCCTGTTGCTATTTCAAAAGCCGGAACAACACTATTGATTGGAGATAATCTTGGTTCACATTTTTCTCCTGAAGTTATTAAAGCCACGATTCAACATAACATTAAGTTTATAACAATGCCTCCAAATGCGACTCATCTCTGCCAGCCATTAGATGTTGCTATTTTTAGAGGATTAAAGCAGTCGTGGAGGAGTATTCTTTTGAAGTGGAGATCAGAAAGTCGTATCAAAGGAGCTATCCCAAAAGAACATTTATCTACGCTTTTAAATAAACTAAATAATACTTTGCGACCAGTAGCTTTGGTTAGCGGATTTAAAGCAACGGGAATCTACCCTATAGACAGAATAGAGGTTATAAAACGTCTTCCAGGAAAATATAAAGACCCTGGTGGTAATGACACCGTTATGGTTCTTAACGAATCTCTTTTAGATATTCTAAAAAACAATCTAGGGTTAGGCACAAATCCAACTACAAAACGCAAACCTCGTGGTCCAAAGGTGGTACCAGGTAAAAGAATTCATTCTTTAGTTGAGTCAATTCCATCAAGTTCAACAGAGCTAAAAAGCAACACAGATAATGATCGGTACTGTACTTTCTGTAACAAAAAATAGGTAGAGTTAAGCGACGACGTGTGAATTTAATGCGACAAATGCAGTAAACCATATCACCTCCAGTGTTGTGGCCTCATTTATGATAAAGATGATTATTATGAGCTCAATATTGAAAATATCTTATACTTTGTATGCAGCATGTGTGAGTCATTTGAAGAATTTGAGGATAGTGATTTTTAATGTTTTGTTTTTATGTGGAACAGATTTGTAAATATTGTGATACATGTTAATATATTGAAAAAACTAGTTTTTTAACATAGTATGCTAATTTTTCACATGAACTTAGTTTAAATAAAAATATGTTCTATGTAAAATAAACTTCATGTTATCTGTTTTGATCTTTAGCAGTTTTTTCCCCCATTGTAATAAGGTAAAATAGCGATATGTTGCAAAAATGTTCAAAAAGCGTTCATATTCACCCCCGTTTACGGTAGTTTCACACATTATTTCAAAGCCTCTCTGTACTGTTATAAATAACTCATTTAAAAGTGGTATTTTTCCAGATATTTTTAAAGTTGCCAAAATTATTCCAATATTTAAAAAAGGCTCTCCTCTAGATTTCACCAATTACCAACCCATCTCTCTGCTTTCTAATATAGGTAAACTCTTTGAGAAGGCAATGCATAATAGGCTATATTCTTTTCTTGAAATTTTTAAATGCTTTTACACCCATCAGTATGGATTTCGTGCCAATCACTCCACAACTCATGCTCTCATTGAAATGACTGAACTAATTAGAAAAGCACTTGATGATAAATGTTTTGCATGTGGTGTATTTATCCCACGGCTGTTTCACTCTATGTAAAAGTGAGCGTGACGTCATGAGTTTATCATAAAAAAAAAAAAAAAAAAGTATTTCCGCATAAAAAAATATAAAAAATTCATTAACTTTAAAATAAAAGTATTTTTTTTCTATAAATGCTTTCATCTTCAAATAAAAAAAACATAAAAGATCTATCTTTTTTTATTTAATAAATATTTATATTAAACGGGCTATAATAAAATATTGTTAAGATATTGCTAATGATTTGGGATCACTTTTCTGTTTTTTGTGATTTTTACGGAAAACCTGTCTTGGGTCAACTAAGATTTCCTAACACAGCTACATGCTTAATGGTTGAAATTTGGAACGTATATAAATAAATGTCTATTCTATCTAATTTTTGGTGCGGATTGTCTTTTTTTTTTTTTAATTATTTTTTAATCTATTTATATTTTTATTTTTATTATTAAATAATGAAAATCGTATTATTTTTGTAATCCGCACCAAATTATTGAAATTTCAACCCTTTTTGCATATGAAAATCAAAAACTTGTTTACTGTACCTCCAGCTATGCTAAGACGTATGTTTTCAAACTTGGCTAGTTTAGAAACAAATTTTTCTAATTTTTTTTTTGCAAAATATTGTTTACATTTTAAAACAATCACGTGGCCTTAAATACTGTACATCTAAACCCAATATGTAATGAATTTTATGAAAACAATTTTCTTAGCGAGACAAATGTTGATGTATAAAATAAACAAAGTTTGGCGAATTTTCTTTCTCGTGAGTAATCAACAAACATCAGGTAAGTTTTTTAATCTTATTATATCTTGTTCATCTATTTGTCAATAAATATTATTTTGTTTGCATTGTTTGTGTTATATTTTTATTACAAGATTTATTTATCATTATGTATTCTACTGAAAGGAAACTATTAATAGAATGGATTGAATGGGACGATAGTTGGGAAAATGAGTGTAACTTTCCATTTGTCAAGCAATTAATTAACATCGATAAAATGACTAACAATGTAATTTTAATTTTAATATCAGTTTTTAAGTCAAAAGCATTGATTAGTTTAATGAGCTTTATATTGCCAATTGATTTTAATTTGCCTAGTTTTGATGAGTTCGTTAATATGTGCCAAAATTTAATACGCGAAAAAAACTTTTTAAAAACAATTATAAAGCTTCAAAAAACGAAGCCTTTTTTAAAATGCAACTGTCTCCTGCTCTACAAATAAAAAAAAAAAAAAAATCAGCAGATGCAGATGAATTTTCATTTCTAAATAGGAATAAGGAACTAAGTAGTCAAGTTGACCAATTAACTTCTGAAAATATAGCAAATGTAGAGCAAATAAAGAAATTAAAACTGAAGTTATTAAAGTTGGAAGCTGAAATTTGTAATTTAAATTCTAAAAATGAGGCTCTTAGTACACATTGTAACTCATTATGTTCTCAAGTAGAGGCTATGAGTATTAGGCTAAAACAGGAGGAGAAGTTCCAACTTATTAAAAAAAAAAAATCAAAACAGCACAGCTTAAATTTGCATCTGCTTGTGCCAAAAATGTAAGATTGCTTAAATAAAATTAAATTTGAAAAAAACAATGCAAAAATTAATGATTTAAACCAGAATTGTGGTCAAATTTGCAAATGTCTTCCAAGCGGTGATAAGGATTTAGTTGTTGTTGATTCTTATTTAGACTATGACAACATTGGTTTCTCTGAATTGTTCTGTGGATTTAAATTAAGTAATCCACAGACTATATCAGTTAAATGGCCAATAGTTGGTAAAAAACATATTTACATTAAGTTAGGACATGGTAAACCTTATTCTAAGATAGGTAGGCATGCTGCAGCTAGACAATCTAAACTTGCTTTTATATTCCTTCAATTATTACCTTGTTCAGATTTAGAAAGTGATTTGTCTATGTTGTTTTGTGATTCTGTGTCTTGTGATAAGTCTATGTTTTGTTGTGTAGCAAATAAATTAGGTTTAGTTAAGCAGTTAAGTGTTTCTGATGCTGTAGAGCTGCAGAGCCAATTAAGGATGCCCACGGCTGAACTCCGTAGGCTAAGACGTATTCTGTGTAATCTTGGTGCAAGGATTCTTCCATCTGAGCCCAAGATAAGACAAGAACAAGAAATGCGGACAATGCATGTCAATAAAGAACATGTTACTGTGAAGTCCATGTTACTTTATCCATCTGCGAATGAAGCACCTTGTTTAGTATCTGTACTGATGGTCAAGAATTTGACAACTTATATTGAAGAGGTTTTTAATGATCTTCATGTACGCGACCAACTTAATTCGGATGTTGGCTTTGGCGAAGAGGTATGGCTCCTTTTTGCTGGGGATAAGGGTGGAAAGTATATGAAATTCCATTTTGAAGTTGTCAATTCTAAATCATCAGGGTCTGTATATAATGTTCATTTGTTTTGTATGTATCGGGGTTTAGATTGTCGTGAGAATATTGCCTTAATTCTCGGGCATTATGCCAACGACATTAAAAGAATTCAGTTGTCAGATTTTAAGCTAAAAGGCAAAATAGTCAGGTTGTTCTTAGGTAGAGATTTTCATTTCATCGATGATGTTCTGGGACACCAGGGTTCAGCTGCTAGCTTTCCTAGTTCTACAGATCTAGTTGAATTGAATTCTCTTAGAAACCATGCTTCTATGCCTCACACACCTGCTAATTGTAACATCTTAAGGAGAACAATACAATCTCTGGAAAGTGCTTACAATGAGAACTTGTGTGAAGATAGACATGGTGGAAACTTAAGAGCTCTAGGTAAGTTTCATAAATCAATTATTGCTCTTGTAATTTTCCCCATAATAACTTTAGATAATTTAGTGCCACCTGTTTTGCATATTATGTTAGAAGTTGTGTTAAAACTGTATAAGTTATTGTTGAAGGAGTGTAGGACTTTAGATTGTCAAGCTGATTCGTCTTTGTCGCATAATAAGATTTTGAGAACGAATGAATTGTGGGCTGCTAAAAGCATTGAATGTTCTAAAACAGCAGAAACTTTGCGTTTATTAGGAAATCAATTTGTAGACGTTGCAAATCTACAGGCGCGATGGTTAGCTTTTGAAAACAATTTTTCCAAATTAGATAGCATATCCCTAAACTCCTCCAAAAAAAACAAACCCTGTAAACAGCAAGAAATGTGTGCTAGTATCAGGTGTTTAATTACAAAATATGATTGTAACAGTAATTGGGTGCAGTGTGGTACGTGCTTAAAATGGTTTCATCAATTTTGTGAAATTATTGGTGATTCAGAAAAGAGTGTATTGTGTGACATAGCGATGTACGAGTGTTTAGCATGTCAAGGTGAAAATAAAGAATGTCTTGACCTTTATATTTATGAAAAAATTTCTTTTAAACGTGCACAACGCGAAGTTTTAGATGTCGAATATATAAAATTGCAGATGGAGTGTGAAGACCTAGAAAAAAAATCCAAAAGTAGCATGGGGACTCATGAGAGGTCTCTTAATAAGGCCCTTGAAGATATGAAGGTTGAGCGGCAAGCGTATCATGGTAATGTGTTTGTAGGTAATCATTGAAAAATAGTCTTAAGAAACCACTATAAACTTTGTAGTGTTATTGATGATAAAGCTAACAAAAATAGATTTGTACGTGTGTTTAGTGTTTTTAATAAGTTGCAACCTATTCTTTTTAAGCGAAAATTTCTTTCTGATGCCGAAATTACTGAGCTTCA